TTTGATGTTTGTTCTAAAGATAGAACTACAATTAGTTAGCATTGCACAAAAATTTGTGTTGCTAATATTTAAACGAAAGTTTATGAATAGTAATTTTTTGATGAAAATTTAAGAGCGATGTGTAAAAAAACTTTTGATACACATTATTGCTCTATATTGTACCTGAAACAAGTTAAATACATTAAAGTACTTATAACCTCATTTTTTGTACAAAAATAATTTTGAAAAAAGCAAAACTGATGCGCAAGGGACTTTTTACATATTGCTAATTTATAGTTAATTAAAAATATACTTTCAGCTGTAACTTGAAAAATAATTAACGTTTTCTTAAAAAAAATTATACACAGGCTTCTATTGAGCCTACCAACATTCAATAAAAATTTCATATGGCTAGGAGGAAAATTAAAATTTTTGGTTTTGAACGTCCATTGTCCCCTTAAAAGGCAGAATGCTTTGGTGTTTTTAAAACAAAGCAAACGTTGCCACCGGCGGAAAAGAAATACAGCTAAAATTTGGGAGCCACGTAAGAGAATTATATATAATAGATGTTCCTTTTTTATATTATATATATTAATATTATATATATACTTATATTTTTTTAAAAAAGGAAGACCCAACCAATAGTGTTCACCTATACTATAAATATCTGTATTCAAATCTGAAATTGGCGGGGCCCTTCAGGCCGCCAAACGCTCAAATGGCGATAGAGGGCTCGAATCCCGCTATAACTAAAGATGCACCTTTGTGATGTTCTTTCCTATCCTTTGCTAGAGCGCTCGCCTCCCAATGAGGTGCCCCGGTTTCGAATCTCGATAGCTGATCGACACGAATCTCGCTCCACGTTTCGCACAGTGTTCACGTAAAATATCCTCAGTGCTGACGGATCATGGGTTAGAGTCCCCTTTGCCGTTAGGCTAACGTTGGGAGGTTTTTGTGGTTTTCCTCTCTAAGTACGCATATGTGGGTTAGTTCCATCAAAAAGTCATCCACGAAGGCAAATTTCTCCCAATACTTGATCCAAGAGTTCCCTTGTCTTCTGTATTGGGTTCAAAATTACGAGGCAACGGATTTGAACATTGATAATCGTAAACTCAATAATTGCGTCGGTTGTTCAACGACGATTGGAAAAATAAAATATCCGTGTTTTAACTTGACAAGGGCTTATAAGCAGTCTTTTGAAATGAGCATACAAACACTGCATATGTATGTTATGAGTAACAATGAATAAATTAAATGAATAATTAATTGAATCTACAATTAGCTCATTGTGATGGATTAAAATTAAAGTGGTAACCTAGAATATGAAATGTCATATTAGTCCAATTAAATGCCCTACCACTTTTTTTCATAAAGTGCTTTTTACATTAACACAAAACGTTGCATTTATGCCACAATAATTTGAAACAGTTTAACAGTTTTGTTTGAAGTATTCTGACTTTGTGAAATTTTCATTTTAATAAAGGAATAAGCCCAGTTAATTGACGTTTATTACAATCTTTCTTTGATTTTAATGTTTCATTCACCCTAAAATATTAACGGAAAAAGCGTCATCTTCAATGCGGAAATGCGATTGGAAAGATCGAACCGCATATTCTATGACTAATGTTTACAAAAAAAAGCGACTTTATAAACAAATACGCATGAAAGATGTTATCAGATTTTTCCGTAATCGATTCATAATTGCTTCCTTCAATCATTTAATAAATGAATTCAAAATATCGTTTGCAATTAAAAAAAGAACAATATACAAATGTTTTTTTCTTTCCTTTCAATTATAGATTTATAACAATAGGTAAGAACGTAATTTTTTGATTAAAATTTTTATAAATTCTATTTAAGGCATTTTTTTTAATTTCTGCAAGAGATGTGCGTTGCTATACGTTTTTTTTTCTTTTAAATATAGATAAAAATTTTATATATTTTTACTTTGGTAAAATAACTAAAAAAACTCATAAATCTGTTTAGTAATATAAATTTCAACGTCTCTAAACATATTGTCTCACGTTTTTCTACGTGATTACACAGCTTGTTGATAATTAAATACGTATAAATTCTAACTAAAAGAAAAGAAATAAATTATTTGGACTTAACAATGTCGATTTCAAAGCACAAAAAGTTTCCTGAGTTTTAAAATTCATGAATTACGAGTTTTGTAATTTTCTGAGTGATCTAAATTAAAGATTTGGTTTCGTTCCATCTATAGTTGGAGAGATAGCTGTTGAGTGTTGTAGTCCATACCACAAATATACAAATTATACCGTGACTATTGCTTTATTTTTTTAAAAAAATAATACAAAGTTCACTAAAAACTATGTTCTGATATAGACAATAAAAAAAGTTACTTTGAAATGTTTTTTTTTAATTCTAAACAATAGATATAAATCAAAAGGACTCCTAGCATTTAGCATTCTATATTTCATTCTAGAAATATTTCTTGGAGAAGCAAGCCATTTTGAGATCATCATAATATATTAATAATATAAATATCGGTATTGTATTGTAATATGAAATAAATCAGTTGTGACAGTTTGGCAAATGGTAGCTTACACAGCAAAGTATCAAGTGTGTGTGAGTATCTATATCTATTTGAATAAGTATGTCTTACATATTTTTTCATAAAGGAACTTTTAATATTGCTACAAAACACTCCGTTTTCGCTAAAGTATTCCGGATGCTGGAGTTCCATTGTTTGATAACATCCGCGCTACTGATACCCTCCAACTGCTACGGAATTCCCGTAGTTTCAGAAATCTTCTTTTCAGACGGTAGCAAAATTAATGTCTTAATATTTAAAAAAAATTAATTTTAGCGTAACTTGTCCACTATTACTTATAAATTGTTCAAACAGTCTTATCAAAGTGCAGACCATATGGCTAGATTCTTAAGTTCTGATAAAAGTTTTATGAGAGATCCATTTGCTTTAAAAATTTCTACTTCGGTTTGCTGCCACTAGAAAAAAAATTATTTTCAAAATCCTCATATGTTGGAAGGTATGAGTTACCCGTTTATCTGCCGGACTCATCTTTTGCGCGAATGGAAAAAGCGCCTAGTTGAAAAACGTCGTATCAGGTTTGCATATAAATGAAATGAAGATTTTCTTCAGTTTTCTACTGATTTTGTTAATAAAATGCAGGAACAGTTTGATTTCAGTAAAGATATTACATGAAAAGGTATATATTTACAAAAAAATTGGCATACAAACGGTAAAACGTGAAAAAAATTCTATAAATTAAAAAAAAATGTTTTTGGTGCAGAAAGACAAGGATAAATATCAATCAATAAAATGGTGGGGAATGATTTATTATTTTCTGAGATAGTTTTTATCAGATGTGTGGTTATTTCGTTCTTACGTAGAAAATGGAACAAAATGGTTTAAAAACAAATATGGCACCCATGATACGTGAGGTTAACTGGAGGAGTCCTTGAACTTCCGGAGCTTTTGGGCTTTTTTTGTAAACATTAAAATTCTGGAAGAATACTTGCTACGACATCTTCTCAGAACGTGACGTCATTAATTGGGTAGATCCAGCGGGCCTATAGACTCCAAATAAATATAGCCTCCTAACAAACCACAAACGGAAGTAAAGGAAAACACGGAGGATAAGAAAAAAAAGTTGGCAGACGATTTTTATCATTCTAATATCATTTGAAAAAGTCCAAAAACAGGTTATTCTGTGGAAAGATCCGACCGAATTCCTTAGGTAAATATATGATCTTCTACAAATGAATTATTAATATGATTAATTTTATTTTTAATGCAAATTTGTTTTGTGTTTCGAAATATTTTTGACACTGAAATTTTAAAGTAGCGTGTTCAGAATTATATTTAAGTTTTGAATGGAGTATTTGTGCTAACTTGAAATATGGTCCAGTGATTTTTGGAAAGCTATTTTCGATAATCTAGGAATAGTTAATACAGTAGTCATTTATATAATTGTAATTCTTATAATATTGACTTTTATTAACATTTTAAATTTTATTAAAAAAAGAAAAATTTTGAGCGAAAACTTATTTCAATACAATTGTTATAAATTATTATGGAGAGACATATAGCAATCGCATTCAAGCAATGCTTCCTTATGCTTCCTTATAATCGTATTTTTGTAAATTTGTATTTATATTTCGAGCAACATAAATAGTACAATATTTTGTTATAATCATCCTATAAAGATGTTATTATAGTACAATATTATTTATGTTTTCATTTTCCTTTCTTCAGCTATAGTATATCAAATTTATATATGATTGAAAAAAGTATAGCAATTTTATTGTTATACTTTTTTATTCTTATTCTTATACTTTTTATTCGCATTTATATTTTATTTTTAAAAATTAAGTTCAGGACATAAATTTTTTCAGTTATTGATATTTAATATATTTTGGAAACAAAACAATATTTGGAGCAGTTTGTTTATTCACGGTAGAAAATTTTATTAATTAATTAATAATTAATTAATTTTTTTATTCAATTATTTATTTATTTCGTAAAACTGTACAAACTATATATGAGATAAGGAACTATATTTTAAAACCACAATGCGCAACAGAAAAAGGGAATTTCAAAATATTAATAAGTAAATAAAAAAGTTGTAGCAAATCTAAAATAATGTATAGTGATTAAAAATATCTCATTTAACCTTATATTCTAATTTTAAACTGTAACATAATGAGAATATCAAACTTCAGATATATATTTTTTCACAAGATTTTTTTCATGATTTTACGCCATTATCTAATTTAAAAAAAGAAAGCCATAATTAAAAATATCACGTGGTACAAAAGTTAATTACCTTCTTGATATTAATACTTTATTTTTTAATATGAAAGTTAAGTTTTTTTTTTCACTTAGAATAACTACTGCTCTGAAATTATCATTCTTCTAAACTATAAGTTATCATTTCAAACTAACAAAATTCTAATAAAATAAAATAAAATAAAGTACATTATTAATTTTTATATTTCAATCTGATACTACAACTACAATATTTTGAAGCTAAAGGGCTAGCCAACACACGAAATTATCCACTTAGTTTAAGTACAAATTCCCAATTTGTTCCGCTTCGTGAGTAAAGTTTTGTTGTTGGTAGCAAAATTTATGTTTAAATGTATGGGAATAGATTTAGTAAAAAATTCAAAAATTTTTGCTCACTATTATTAAATTTGTTTGTACAACTATAATTTTACGCAAAATTTTTTTAATAATTATTTATTCTTTTTTTTAATATTTTGTTTCATAATGATCGAAAACATTTTGCATTGTAAGGTATACAGTTTTTAACACCATATGAAAAAGTATAATTTCAAATGACAGAATACAAAATTTGAACTTGATCAGTCGAATAGTTTCTGAGTTTCAAATTTTATAAAAATGTCATATTGTCCATCATTGGAATTCATTTTACAAAATCAATTCTTGATAAATTTTTGTTTATGAAAGAAAAAACGTTTCAAAACTAAATTATTTTGGATTTTATATTTTAGTACAAACATAATTCCGATAATCCAACAATTTTTATAGCAACCATTAGACTGTTTCTTTTTTCCTTTTTTTTATAATTAAAAAAATTCCAAAATGAATTTTTTTCTTATAATTAGAGCGTAAGAAAAAAGAATATGTAAAAGGGACAACGACACTGGTATTTCCTCTGTGCCAAAGAGTTAAGTGGATGATTTTTTTTTAAAATTTAGTTACCTATTTTGGCGATATTTATAATGATAATAATAATATGCTTTCTGACATCACAATGAAGTTTTGGTTATTATGATTACCATGTTTTTCGAGGTAAATGATAATAATTTACCGTTTAAATGTTTTGAAAAGTCCATTTTTCAAAATGTTAAAAAGTCTAATGTTTGGTTCTTAGCACTTACAATTGGAAAAACTGAATATTCCGATCAACCAAAATGCATTAAATATATAAAATCCTGCATTATGTCACATATAATTTTTCTAAAATCAAACAGTTGTTGCATAACACAATTAGTTGCTAACTGAAGAAAATTTCCATTTAATTTATATGCGAACCTGACACCACGTTTTTATTAAGACACTTTTTCCATTAGTGTAAAATGAAAGTCAGATAGGTGAACGGTTAAATTATATCAAGCCTATTCTTTACCTTGTTACCTTTATGGTCTAATGTCCACATATTACTGGACATTAAAACTTACCCTTCTGAAATTTAAAATTCTTATATTTTAGAATTTTGTAACTATATTAGATTATGGTTTAGTTAATGTATGAAAATATTGCTTTTATTTTGAATAATTTGGTGCTAACATTATAGCTTAGATTAAGACAAGGTTAAGACAACTTATTCCATTTATGCCCAGCCACAATAAGTATGTCGAATAAGCGAATAAAGTGGATATTTTCTTCTGCTACTTACACTTTTAGCACTAAGCATTTTGCCGTGTCTCTAAATCCAACTATAAATACTTCTATTATTAATATATTTAGGCAGACTGAAGTATTTTGTTTCTGCAGGATTAATTTAATAATGAAACACTTGCGCTACTACTTTTCAATTTTTGGAGAAGAAAAAACTGTCTTAAAAAAATATATACATTAGACACGATTAGGTAAATAAGTTAAATCTCCTCTATGAATGTAACATTGTAATTTGAAAAGCTTTAGTGCAGGATTCCCAAATAGGCCTAAAGCAATAAAAAAGGAACACTAATAAAAAGCAAAAATCTATTAATCCTTTGAAGCAGATGGCAAGGGCGGCCATTTTGTATATTTTATTATGACGATCTAATTATAAGTAAAAACATATTTCGTATTTTTTAACTATAAAAAAAAAACAATCTTATAGTGACTAGAAGAATCTGTTAGATTATCGAAATTACATTTGTATTAAAATATAAAATCCAAATATTCAAAGTATTGGTTTTGTAAATTAAAGAAATTTCCACGATGAAAAACTGTTTCTCTTAGATCTAAATAATCGCAAATTTGAAAAAATTATTGTAGGAAGTGAGCTGAGTGAGTTCCTTAATAAAATTTTTTTGTTTGAAATTATTGATTCATTAAAATTATATAAATATGCCCTTCATGATAATTATTTGTTGCTTGAAACCATTGATTAATTAAAATTATATAAACGTGCATTTTACGATAATTATTTGTTGTTTAAAATTATAAAATAATTAAAATTATAGTGAAAATGTAGTGATCACTATATGAATGTCATTCAAAAATATGCATAAGCCAAAGTTTCCACAGGCATTAATAGGATTTAAGAGTGGTTGATTTTTAAGATATACACAAAATGAACAGTGGAATTTTTTAATTTTAGCTTCCATTTTATTAAGTTACTCGATAAGTAGTTTTTAGTGACTTGACAAGATTTAGATTTTGATTAACTCCAATATAGCGAATACAAAAATTCAGTTATATTTCCTCGAATATATAATATGCTGTATGTTTTCTACTTTTATATTCTGCCCAAAGTCTAATCATAACATTAAACATAAATTAAGCATATTTCATTAAATAATTATAACACTAATTTTATCAATAAAAGTATGAACAATAAAATCATTTTAAAATCGGGATAGGTGTAAGATTGTTAGTAATCTTTTCCCTTTTCGTGTTAATGCAATTTTTTGCCATGTGTTTTGGGTTTTTTCCTCTCAATACTGTTGTCAAAAATATTGACCTAACTTGTGTTTTCCACGTTGGAATGCCCTTCAGTAAGTTCAATGATCCGAAATTTCACTTTCATTGCAAAATATGTTTCAATATACTATACATCGACACAATCAGAAAGTAAATGGGCCAAGGTCTTATATTGTAGAGGTCCTAGCAGAATTCCCAAAAGGTCAAAATAGGTCAAACTACTGCAAACGAAAGAATGAAAAAGCTGAAACAAAAACTTGGTTTAAAGGTTTATTGTAATTTTAAAAAAAAATATATTTAATTTGAAAGGATTGGGTAGGAGAATTAATTCATTTTATCATCTGTCTGCTTTATTATAATTTCTTAGAGAATATGTAATGTTTTCAACATTTAACATTCATTACGTAATATTGCTTAACATTTGCGTCAATTTTTCTGATACCAATTCCCTTGTACCGATTTTTCCACTTAAGAAATGGAAAATAAATGTTAATGCTTCTAAATTCCCAAATTTGACTGAGAATTATGATGTATGTAAAGAAATTTTTACAAAAGGAAAAGTCAAATATTTGCCGAAGTCTACATTTATTCCGATGTTTTAAGAGTTAATTTTACAGATTAAAAAGTTCAGAGAAAAAAAAATATTAAGAAGCTGAAATTTGTAAAACAAAATTAAACAAATAAATAAAAATCTACAAATTCAATTGAAACAAAGTTTTAATCATTCAAATTGCTTAAAGAGTCAATTTAACCGCAGCACATTTTTTAAAAATGAAATCAAAATCAAAATTGTGATCACCGAAAGGCGAAATGGCAAAATGATTGGCTTAATAATTGTATAAAACTAATAAATAATAGTTAACTTTGATTAAGAAAAGAGAGATAATCTTTCCAACAGCTTTTACTATCGCATTTAAATATTATAACTGTGTTTGCTTTCACTTTAATCTTAACATAGTTAATCCGTATTAGTTTTGAGTATGCTTGCACGATTTTCAAATGAGGTAGTGGTAAATAAAATGAGGCAATGAATTATTTGCTTCAGTTCTAACAAATCAGTAATAAAATATCTCAGACACCATTGTTTTTTTTCTTACCATGATTAGCTTCTCTGAAAATGTCACTTACCTGGTTCTTCCACTAAGCTCTTCAAATAACAAAAATATTCTATTTGTCTACACTAGCCCTATGTCCGTGCTAGCCCACTTCCCCAACATATTACTAGCAATCTCAGTTGATGAACACACATTTATGTGTATTTAAAAACTCACTCTCATTAAAACACTGAGCCACACAGTATAAAACGCACACACATTACAAAGCTAAATGTAAGCTTGAATGACTTTAAGACCTTTTTGAATAAAAACTCTCGTTTCAAGTAGAGTGCGAAAAGAATAAATAAAGTCCAGGCAATAAGACCAATACTCACATTTGCATGTTCAGCTTTTACCAAAATGAGTATTAAACTCAAGAAGAAACTATCAGCGGTCGAAAACAAAATTTTGCAAAGGACAACCCTTAAATGAAATTAATAACAGACTATTAAGAAAAGATTTTCAAAGTGATGATAATAATAATTTTATTGTTTAACTCACACTAAATTTTATAGATTTATATACTTCTTTTTATAGCTATTGTTAAAGCTGATAAAAAGAAAATTGTAACTTCTTTATTTTAATATGAACTCAACTTTTAATTATTTCTAAAGACCGTACGAACCCTGTAATTCAAGATTTTTTTTTTTTATTAAAACGCTTGCCAATATTTATTGGCATCTTTACTACTAAGTGATAGTAACAGAGCAACAGACGTGAACAAACTTTACTTTACTTTTACTTTATTTACAAAAATTGGGCAACAGGGCCACTTAGCGGCCCCCCATGAACAAAACATACATTTGTTAATTTATGTAACGCAATCCTTTAAATAAAAAGTGGTCATAAAACTTTTAGATTTATATATTTTTCTTTTTCTTGAATGCTTTTTTTAAACAGGGGCTTGTAACTTAGCCTGAATCGCAGGACCCTTCAATTTAATCCATTGATCACTAGTTAAGATATGACTATAATTATAAAAAACTTTCTTTCACCTAGAGGGGGCAAATCCATGTCATTTTTTCTCTCTCAGCGGAAGCAGTGTTACCACGTACAATAAATGTTTGTTGCAAATTTAAGTTAAAGATAGTCGGAATCTTTTTATTAGGATATCATTTTAAAGTTTAGAGTTATTGTTATTTGAAGTTTAGAGATCTTGTTGTCATAAATACGGATATGAAACTTTCATAGATTTGTATGTAGTTATAAAAAAAAAATTACAATTGTGATCATAACTGCATTAAAGTATTAACGTTAGTCTCATATTTATTACCATTTTTTAAACTGTTTGAGGCTTGTAAGAACATTGCAAAAATTTGGTATGAAATATACAGACTTGGGTGTGTCTGTAACTGTATATCTCATACCAGTCACAGACTTGGAAAATAAAAATTTAATAAAAAATCAAACAGTTAAGAGTACAATATTTTACCATTTAAAAATATTTTCAAAAAAACTTGATTTAAAAAAGTAAATTATTGCTTTTATGCATAGATGCTAACTTGCACTGTCAATCAGAAAGATATTACAAAATAGTAGTGAAATAGTAATAAAAAGTAATAAAATAATAATTAAACCAATGATAATTTTTAAAAAATTGAATTACTTTGAGAGCACTTAAAAGCATAATTCATCAACTAATTTTACATAAATGAAGAGTTTAGTGGATGAAACAGGCAAGATATATTTTCAGGGGTATTTATTAATCAGAGAAAATAACATAAATTGGTTACATTAATATCGGTATGTTTAATGTAACAGAATTATTTTTGCCTCCACAATTTAATTAATTTTATTATACCTTATCTACTTTAGTTTTGTGCATGCCTGCATGAGTTTTATTTCAAATCAAATCGTGGTGAATAAAATAAAGTAAAGAATTACTATCCCCGCCTTCTATTCTATCCAGTGCTTCCCACTTTCGCCACTTTTTGGGAAAATTTCTTACAGTTTATGCTTTAATGTGATGATTCCTTGTATTGTAAATTTTATTGAATATTATTTTTCACAACAGTGGGAGGGGCATGTAAGTGATTCATATGTTAATCAGAATCATTTCACTTCATTCATGCCACTGAATAATATATCCAATTTGTTGTTAAACAAATACGATATCCATTTATTACTTTTTTAAAGAAACAAGAACTCAACAATTGTTTTAGAATTTAAAATGTATTGCATTCAGTTTCAACCACTACACATTACTAATTGATAAATTAGCATGAGTTTGATTGACAAGTTTTCAGTGCTCGGTCCCAAATGCTTTTGGTCAAATGCGCAAATGAGGACCCGAGTTAAGCATGTATTTTTTTACCAATAATAACAGTAAAAAAAAAACCTTGATCACAAGAGTGCAAGGTTTATAAAACTGCAATAAACTATAAGGTGAGGAATAATTTTCTTCATTTAAAGTAATGATTTAGTTGAACAGTAAGTAGACAATTTTCACAACAAAAATAAAGAAGTTCTTTTGCTTTAAAAGCGAAGATCTTGTTTTAGATTTCATAAATTTTTGTATATCAAGGGTAATATTCATCGTCTTTAATTAAAGAAATCTTTCAAGTAAAATGTATTCACTTTATAATTATCATCGATATTTTTCAGGTAACAAATAACTTACAAGAATAGAAAACAAGGTTTGATGATGGTGAATCAGAAGATCAGCAGCCAATTTATTATTTGTATTATGATTTTACTCAACTACACAGGTAAATCAAATGCTTATATTACAGTTTAGAATAATTAATTATCCATCATTAATCGTATCGAATCATTAATCAATCAAAGGGCATAGTCCGGCCTACACATAAACAGGTTTAGAGATACAAGTCATGCGCACCAAAACAATGCTCCATTGGCGTAGTCGGTTGAGACGTTGCTCATACCGCTGATTGGAGAGCAGTAGGTAGTGAGTTCGATCCTGGTATTTGACAAAAAACCGGCGTGTATATGCAGCAAGGAGCACGTTAAAACTGCCGGGGCTGAAAATCTTCTCGTTTGGTCTGGTGTGAAAGTTTGGAGAGAGGTTTACAAGCTCGGACGCTGTCCACGTCATGTTACCACGGTCAAAATTGTGCGGCATTCCTATCAGGACAGTTAAAAGATAGAGCCCTTAAAATGGGGCTAGGTAATGATGATGATATGCACAAAATCTAGATAGTTTGTTAAAGTTCAAGATTTAAAGAGGAAATCAAAGTGAAGTATCCTGGAGATTAGTTTAAATGTGGACTTTTGTTTTCAGAAACCAATGTTTTCAGTTCAAAAATTTTTAAGTTTCCAAACTAAATGTAATGAACTTTTTTCTTTAGAAAACATTTTTCAGTTATAAAAAATTAGAATTTAAAAATGGCTCCAGCAAGAATAAAACTCGCGACATACTAGCTATGAATAACCATTGCACAACCATATCACAGCCATTGTGCCTTCAATATACATCCAATGCATTGTTTTTTTTTAATTCTGTGGTAACTGAATAATTTTTAATTCTGTGGCAACGTAGTAATAGGCTGAGATAGTTGGGCCATCTATGGAAAAGCCCTGAAATTAGCCCCATGAGAATAGTCATCTTTAAGAACCCTGAGAGGTCACGTCCCAGAGGCAGACCCCCTACTAGATGGCTCAGCGACATCGAAAATGATTTGAAAACCCTAAAGATTAGATATTGGAAGGGAATTGCCATGAATAAGCTGTTGAGACAGCCAAGGCCTGCAAAGGGCTGTTGCGCTGACAAAGAAGAAGAAGAAGGTAACTGAATGCTTGTTCTTTTTTGTACGTGGTGAAAAAAGGTTAACAATAAATCATTACTGAACACTAAGAAATTATGCCTGAAATTGAAAGACACGTACCGATACAATTAATTAAGCTAAAAGGTAATTCCAATGTTTTTTTAAATTTATTATTAAATTTTATCCTTCTATGTGACTTACATTATGAGATTAAGCAAAACATATTTTTAGTCGTACATCCCATCAAAATAAATTTTATCTGTATTTAGTATTATTTTTTATGATGATGCGACTCGAGCTCGGCCCACGATAGTAAAACTTTACCACTGACATGCGATTTTCTGCACTACTTATCCCTTTAGAGAAGGTGTCAAAAGCCTCTTTACACCGTATTTATATTAAAATTTTAATTTTAGCTTGGTTTCGTTTCAATAGAAATTTCACAGATTCATATTTCTCTTGTTTGTGATAAATCTTTAATGTTGATATATTTTAAAAAACTATTTATTTCTATTTTTTTCAGATTCTGCACCAAGATGGAGCTGGGGTAGGTTTGCACAAATTGAGTCGCTGAATAGTGATGCATGCGGAGATGGACATTGTGTTCAAAAATGGAAATGCCCACACTTTTCAATTTTAAGTGAAAAATGCACTTATCAAGATGGAAATGATTGGGTCTGTTGTTCAAATTCTACAATAAAACTTTCAAGTAATACCAAGAATATTTCTGTTTCTAATTTCCAAAACTTTCCACCAATGGAGAACTTAACTTCTACCGAAGATGATTCATTGGAACTAACAACAGCAAAAGACTACTTTTTAACAACATCTATTAAGCTGTTAAAAAATGATGGAAACACTGAACACAGCAACTATAGTACAAGCAAAGAAACTACTGCAGAAACTATTGTCATGAAACTACTGCCATATTCCACGAATTCTACTCCAATTCCAAGCATAGATTTCTACGATACTCATCATGGAGATGAAGAATTTGTATCAATAAGAACTGACGACATTTTAAATAAAACTAGCACCAAATATAAGCCAAATGAGTATTTACATTCAAATCAGCTTATCAATGAAAGTAATGAAACAATGTACTTAAACTTTACTAAAACTTTAAATGAAATGCAGCAGCCAGAAAATTCGTTTATTTTGCTAGAAAACGAACACTCAGATACGCAAAGTGAGAAGTTTTCTGACAAAAAAGTAATTCAGAAGAAAAATGCGGAATACTTTTGGAACAAACCTTACACGACGAATTCTTGGAGTAAAAGTACAAAGAACTGGAGAAGTACTACAAAAGCTCACAAAACATCATCACAGAGTTCGTGGAATACCCGATACGCATCGAATGAGCAAAGTACTCGATTTCGAAATACAAAAACAACCACTCATTATTGGATAAAACCATCTAAAGACTATGCACCCAAAAAAACTACAAGCGCCTGGGATATCGATATGATAAATTATACGACAAAAACTTTTAGGCCTAGTGAACGAAACCAAAATAGTAATGGAAAAAGTAGTACCACTACAAATAAAATAACAACTAGTTTTCATAGGATAACTACAAAATCTTCATGGAATAAAAATACTGATTCGGGTAATGCTAAATCGAGTTATTCGACTCCAAAAACAACAACAACAAATCATATTACTGGTACATCGAGAGCTTGGAATAATATTCGTACTACTGCCAAACCAATTCCTAATTCAACTAGAGGAACAACTTCGAGCAAAAGCTCAATTAAAACAAGTACTCAGTTGTGGGAAAATAAATATCAAAATTCTCAAAGCAAATCAACATCTAGGAGAAGCCAGGAGTCTACTAAGCCTTTTTCAACACCTACAAAAAGTTCATGGCATCGCGAGCAAACCATAGATACTCGGAGGAATATTACTGTTGATTCTAGAACTTTTAATTCTACTTCGACAAGTTCTTCTAGAACGTTTCAAAATTCAAGAACTAGTCCTTCACCGTTTTCTCGAGCAAAAACAACTAGATCTTCTATGGGTCCTCCAAGATTGGACAAGAGCACAACAACTAAAAAACTAGCCGTAACAAAATCTCCCTTTGACAAGAATGGCAGTTCTGATAAATACAGCACTAACACACCATTACCTGATATTAATAATGGATGTAAGTAGAACTCATATTTCCTTTTAAAACTTACAAAAAGTTTTATTATCGAGGTATCAACCGCTGACGAGAATCTCAAACAAAAATATTTCTCAGTGGTCCTGTTATATGCCACTATTTTTTTTTAACGAAACGAATCCATATTTCACAATTTTGGATTCGATTCAGAAACTGTATCTTAAAAATTAGGTCCAAAATCCTAAAAAGCCGTCAAGTTTGGAATCAAGCTCACGAAATTTTTGTGTCCAGTAGATATACTGATTAACTCTTTTATACAGCGGTTCCCAAACGGTGCTCCGCGAAACCCTAAGGTTCCGTCGGAGAGTTAAAGAGGTTCCAACAATACCAGCCCTATATAGAATTGTTATTATCCAGGGATAAAAGCTATTCTAGGACCAATATTTTATTTTATTTTGTAACCGTCGTTGAACAGCAGCCCCAATTACGACTACCAATGTTCAACTTTGTTGACTTGTAATCTTGAACCCAATCCAGAAGACAAGAGAACTCCTGGATCAAGTATTGGGAGAAATTTGCCTTCGTGAAGAACTTTTTGTTGGAACTAAATCGCATTTGCGTTACAAGAAGAACAAAACCACGAAAATTTCCCCCGTTTAGCGTGACGGCAATGGGACTCTAATCTATGATCCGTCTACCATTGAGGGTATTTTACGTCAGCACTGTGGTAGGTGCGAAACGGGTGCGAAATTTGTATCAACCAGCCATCGCTGTGATTCGACCCGGTTCAACTCAGTGGGAGGCGAGTGCTCTATCTCCCGAGCCACAACTGCTCTAGGATCAATATTAAAAAAATCTAGACATCCCTCGGTGCATGCTCTTATAGGACTCATATTGAGCAAATTTTGATCCCAACTGAGGTTAAAGTAAAATTGTTTCTAGGGCATTTACAAAAGAATGCAATCGTTTTTCACATTGCTCTTTTCAGATCAAAACGAAGTAACTAAATTCATTATTAAAAAAATATGTTTCCCTATTTACCATTTTCAACGCTTCTTTCAGTTATTTGTATTTCTAACTTTAAGGAAATACAAAAAAATAAACAAATTTTTGGATAGATTTAGCTCCTAGATTGAAAATTAAACTGTCAAACATAAAACAGATTTTAAGATTATTAATGATAAAACGGTATATTTTTCAACGGAGATCTTTTTTCAAATATGAAGCACCTAATTGTTTTAATGGTTTAAATATTCAAAATTTTTTCCTTTATTTTATTTCTAAATTCGGAGTTTCACTGGAAGAATGTTGATTACTTAGGGTTCTGTAAGCGAAAAAAAAAAAAAAAATTAGGAACCGTTGCTAATGTTTACTTGATTTTGTGAAGAGATTTTCTATTGACTTTTTAATGTAGTAACAAAATGTATACGTCAATATTGTTAATTTGTTTAACAAAGTTAATTTACCACCACAACGCATAAATAATTTAAATAAATGTGTTAAAGTTCTGACATTTGGAAATAGAACATTTGGAATAGAATACAATTGGAATTTGGAATACAATTTCTGACATTTGGAATAGAATTATTTAGAAATAGAACATTTTGCGTAGCTAATATAATTCTTGTTTTCAACTGTAAAATAAATTGCTATAGGGTAACCTCAACAAAAAATCTTAACCTTTTACTACTCATTGAAGAATAGCAATGAGGAGCCATTTTTTTTATTGCATTTATAAAAGTACTTGATCTTACTTTATTCCGGTGAGGGGATTTAAAATCGGAAATTAGTTTTGCTCGGACAGCTAAAGATTTTCTTCTTCTTCAAAATCGAATTTTCTGTTTAGTTTATGTTTTATCTGAATGTACAAATTTATACCAACCTGCGTTTCCGATTCTTTTTCTGGTGGGAAAAAGTAAAGAACGCTTTTCTGATAACGGACAGCATCTAAAACTATTTCAACGCTTTGAGGTTTTCTGCTGTTATTATTTTTTAAAAGCTTCTTATTATGTTCATTCCTTTAATTCGAAATATAGAGAAAACATTAAACATTTAAAAATTGGAAAAGAAAAGAAGAAAATTATTAAAATGAAATAACATTAAAAAATAATAAAAATTTGGGGAAAAAATATATAATCTCCTCATCAGCTCGTACGATTCTATCCGCAAAAAGAAGTGCTTTCTAATATTATATCAAGAGAGACAAAGCAAAATATATTAATAATATAGTGTGAGGAGCACTCAATAGAAATATATATATAATTATAGACATATAAAAAAAGGGGGGGAATATTAATGAAAAAAAGTAACAAACAACTGAAAAAAAAAGGATAAAATTTATTTTTTTTAAAAATCCGGAAAATAAAAGATATAATCTTTTCATCAGCCCACACGATTATATCCGCAAAAAAGGATATAATCGTATGGGCTGATAAAAAGATTACATCTTTTATTTTCCGGATTTTTAAAAAAAAAATTTCATCCCTTTTTTTTTTCTTCTTTTTTTTCTCAGTTGTTTGTTATTTTTTATCATTATTATTCCCCCCCCTTTTTTTCCATATGTCTATAATTTTCCTTTGTTTTATCTTCATTTTGAACTTATCTAATGAGTTCTGTTTACTTGCAGCTTATGCGCAATAAATGAAACTTATTGTTTTTCTTAACTTTCTTCGTATTTTCTTCTTGTATTTATTTATTTTGTTATATATATATATATATAGAGAGAGAGAGAGAGAGAGAGAGAGAAAGAGAGAAATAGAGAGAAAGAGAGAAAGAGAGAAAGAGAGAAAGAAAGAAAGAAAGAAAGAAAGAAAGAAAGAAAGAAAGAAAGAAAGAAAGAAAGAAAGAAAGAAAGAAAGAAAGAAAGAAAGAAAATAAAATAAATAAAAACATATTTCTAAAAAAAGAACATTTAACACTAAATATTTATTGGATCAATTCTTTTTGAAAGCATTTTTGATCTTTTATGCTATTTCACATAATTCAAGAAGTATATTAAAACATTAGCTACATCAGGTCTCTATAAGAGTAATTTGGGTACCTTTTATAACAGTGCCTATTTACACAAAACCCGTAGCAACTAATAATAACAACATTAAAAAATAATCACTGGCAAGAATAATATTTTGTTTTATGCTCCACCCATGAAAAAGATAA